TTGCACACCTGTTAAGGCCTCATTCAAATGAGTAACTTAACATGTTCCAAGACTGCTCTTATATGAATGCTTAACAAACGAACACACTTCTCATGAACACACTAACAAATTGATTGATATCGTTGCATCTCATTAATATGTTTGTCCTAGAATGGTGATGCTTTGTTAATTCTCTGAGATTACCATTTCATTTACTTTGCATTTTTGGATAGTCTTTTACTTCGTTCTTTTTTTTTATATATATTCCTACAAATGTAATCACAACCAACAAACAAGCCAGAGGTAGATAATATTAGGAATGGACTGTCAAGTGGCAACACCTCTCTAACGCATTTTATATAGCAGTTGGAGGGCATATATGTAAGGCAACTCTAACCTTCAAAGGGGCAGCACCCAAGTCATCCATGAAAATTCACCGAAATTTGAAGGGTCAACTGATCCCCTTTGCCCCTAAGTTAGTATGCCCCTGGCCATGTGGTTCAAACATATTTAATCACCAGTTTATACATGTATACACTATCTTTCTTGTCACATGGCATGTCAAACATATTTCGTACAAGTTTTTTTTTTGGGTTAATTACACGCTAAAGGTGACCAAATAATAGTGTATTGTTGTGTGCACAATATTTAGGGTTGTTTAGTACAATAAGTATGTAGTCCAATCAAATACAATACTTTAGCAAAACAATAAATTAAAAATACAATACAATACGGTGTACTAGTATCCATTATTGTTTTATGTGGCCAAACATAACTTGGTCACATTTGGTGGACCATTTATTAAAGCAATATTAAAAAAGAAATACATTTGTTTTCAACAACAATACAACTAACTATGCTTATATATAACGGCATTCAACCTACTATCTATTTGATTAAAATTAACTTGCTCCATTAATGAAATCGTTAACCTTAAAGAGATATCAGATATGTTTAAATGAGTCACAACTAATTGTGTCAACCATAGTACGAGCTCAAATAGGTAAAAACATTACTCTAACCAAAGGATACCACAGGGCCAAACCCACAAATCCACACCACAGCCCATGTAGGGCCATACCCACTAACCCACACCATCCCCATATCTAAATAATTTAAGAAAATTAGGATTTAAGCTCATGTGATGAAGTGTATTAGGACTTAGGCCCAAAATTGAAAATTTCATCAACTCTCTGTTAATATTATCATGTGAGCCACACATATTAGCTAAAACCGAACTCTACATTAGTTGTTAGCACGTGGGATATATGTGAAACTAACTTTATCTTTTTAGTCTCACATGTGAGCCTTTATATGCTAACAATTAATAGTGAGTTGACAAAATCTTCAATTTTGGACTTAAATTCTAACAGACTTCACTACAGGACTTAAATCCTAATTTTTTTACCACAGGGGTTATCTTCCTTTCAATTGCACTGTAGCCACCACCCCTCCCCAACTTTAGAATAAAGTAATAGGCAGGATTTAAAGCTCCATGCCTCAACCAACCATATTCAGTTTTCAAAGGCTAGTTAGTTCATGAGATCTCTCACGTATCCAATACACAATTTTATCAGCGTCTCCTCTATTACTACTGGTAGAAATCAAGAGGAGATGAGAGAGATATCATAATCATATGGTGCCCTGAGTACATGAAAGAATCTCTCATAATCCAGTATCACCAAATGAGACCTTACAACTCATTCACACTTTAGACTACTTTTAGTGTTTTGTGTCAAGTAAATGGAGTCAACCCAATTAAGCTCAACGCTAGTTAGCTAGTTTCTTTAAAACCTTAAACCAGGTTAATTAATGAGGTTGTCTCCTTTATGCATGCATTGGATCAACAAAACCATCATGCATATGGACTATGGGATATTTACAAAAACACATGCCTTTACTTGGATCTTTCTCTAAGGTCACGTTCAGACCTCAGCGGCTGAGTGAGTCCACACAAGTGTTGGAGATGTGAACCACACATACACTCAGTAGAAGCCCTGCAAAAATACAAGCTGGGTACAAAAAGTATCTAAGGCCGACGGATCAACTTTGAACACATCGATGAACAAGCAGAGTGCACCTGGATATTACAAGGTTTCTGTTGGTACAATATAAACCTCAGTAATTCAGTAATATTTAAACAATTTTAAAGAAAAATGAACTATATATTAACACCTACTCCAACCCTATGAGTAAAACTCAAATTTTAGGTTCTAAATCTACCTTAACTTGTTCCAACTCTTGGGCAAATATGAATTTTAACCCAAAATTCATTTCTGAGGCAAATTTAGAACTCGTTTGGATGTGCTTTTAAAATGACTGAAAGCGCTTTTGGTGAAAATATTTTTCGAAACAATCCTTAGTAAAATGTTAATAAATCCTGAAAAAGTATTTAAAGTGCTTCCTGGAAGAAGCACATAACTGGTGCTTCTCATAAAAAGCACTTAAAGAGCTTTTGAAACCCAAAACATTTTATCTAAAAGCGCTTTCAATCATTTTAAAAATATATCTAAACGAGCTCTTAATTTAGGCCAAAATGTCCTCATGGGTTAGTGGGTTGGGCACCATGTATGTGAATTTTTTTTTAGTTTTATATTTAAAACTTCATTGAATCTAACCGCTAAGATCTTATATGCTCAAATCTAACGAGTGATTTTTCAATAGTGTTCAACGAGTTTCATGGTGTCGGTTTAGTGATTTTTCAATAATTATCAAAATCTAAATATTTTGAGGTTAAATTAATTAGAATAGTCTACATAAATTTTTATTTTTAAGAAAGTTATTTCAAGAAAAAAATTATCCTAAATTCTTTCTTTAGTAATCTCGGACTAAAAATTTACCTAGAAGGGTTAGAGCAAACAAACAGTTTCTGAGTTAAAACTTAAGGGTCTGTTTGGTACTTTACTTGAATCTAACTTTTTAAACTCAAAAATAATTTTCAAGTTTTAGGTATTAAAAACTTGTTTGGTATGACTATTTTTAAAAACTGAATTCAAGATTAACTCAAAAATATAGGCTATTCTGTAAAAATATAAAAAGTGAGTTTTTAGAGTTTTTAAACTTAAACTCACTCTTTTATTTTCTCTTCCTTCCCCCCCCCTTCTCTCTCTCTCTCTATCTCTCTCTCTCTTCTTCTTCTTCTCTTCCCTTTTTTTTTTTTTACTTTTCTCGTCTCTCATCCAATCCGCTCTCTTCATTTTCTCAGTTCTTTCTCTCTCCTCTTCATTTCTATCTGATCCTCTCACTTCTTTCTCTTTCCTTCAATCATCTCTTACTTTCTTTTCTCCTCTCTCCTCTTTCTCCCTCTCCTGCGACCCCCTCTTTTTAGATCTCCTTGTCTAGTTTAAGTCGTAAGATTTAAAATTTTAAATTGCAAACCAATCAAATTTTTAAGTCTTAAAAAAACTTATTTTTAAGAAATGTTTTGAGAAATGATAAAAAATTTCAAATAGGATACCAAACAGGTACTAAACTTTCTAAGTAAAAAATTTTAAATTTTAACCTAAGAGTTAAAGATGGTCTAACAACAATTATGTGGTGTAAGGGCATCTTGCCCAGGATGATGCCTAAGTTCCTACTAAGGATTCCTTCTTTTGGTGGGATCTGGACCCGCCAGTGGAATGAGAACATCTCACAAGCCCAGTTGCACGATAGAGTTTGGCTTTTTATTTTTTTGCCCCTTCACACAAGAAAATATTGAAGAAGAAAAGATTCGAATTCGCAACCTTGGCATAGGATAAATGCATGATGCATCAAAAGGGGCAATTAAACATGATGGCCTGATTGAATTCAAGATGAAAAAAATGGGTTGGGTAAAATTTGAGGGCTCGGTTGAGAGTAATTTTGTAAAGATTTGTTTTTTAATGGTGAGTTTAATTAAATAACACAGGCAATTAAGTTGAAGATCAGCAATTTTCTAAATTTTGCTAATTAAACACCCTAGATCATATTTGAGAAATTGGATTATCGACCACATACTAAAAAATTGATTATTTTTGTAATTGAGATTTGAATTTCTCAAGAGATTTTAGCCCTTCCATAACCACTGTCAAATGACTTGATAAAATGCTTGTTCGAAAGAAAGAAAAATATATGCATGTTTCTAAAATAATGTACTTCGTGTTGCAATCCTAAATTATTTACAAGTGTGATTGTATAAATCCTTATAGGATTCTATAAATATCTTTTAGATAGTTTCTCGTTGTAATGTATTACTTGATAGGTAAAGATTCTCTCATCTTTACTACTATAAATAAAGACACAATGAGATGAAAAATCGTCACCATAGAATCACCAAACTCTCGCTTCTCTCGTTGCTTGCCGCCCCTCTCCCACTCTCTATAATCCCTTAGTAAAATAGGCGTACAATATGTTATCAACACGCTCCAACTACTGCGCTAAGGAACTAAGGGTGTGTTTGTTTGTTCTTACTAACAGTCACTGGACTAGACTAAATTAATTCTTAGTCTAGTCTTGTATTTGTTCCATGTTAGGATTACGATTAACGAGGCTAAAGGGACTCGCATTGTCACACCCCAATACTCGAGGTGTGAGATTAGGAGAATTAAATAGAACCAAGTGGTTGTTTAAAAGTGTAAAACAATTATTAGCCAAAGATTATGTCAATGAAAAATTTAAACTCAACAAATATATTAAACCAAACTACAAAGGTAACTTTAAGAAATAGATGTTAAGGACTTCTTGCAATAATACAAACTGCAGAAACGACCTGTACCATAAAATTTACCGAAAATAGCTCGTCAAACCAAAAAGTAAGAAAATTTCCAAGTCCAAAGTAGACATATCTAACTTGTGTTAAAATTTTATGAATTTTCAAGTTTGGGAAGCATAGGAAAATTGAAATCTAAAACAGGCGCGCTGCTTCCCTTTTTTTATTTTTTTTTTTCTTTTGAAAAGAACAATTTCAGCAACACCACGTCACTTTGGAAATAAAGCTGATTATGTTCCACAAGTTCAAAATTTGTAATTTGCAAAATGCAACCTAAGTAGTAGATATACAGTACACCCACAAATATAACCAATTTCATAATGGTTCTCCAAAGGTAACTCATTAAGCCTTACAGAATATAATGAGTTGTTCAAGGCTTCTTACAAGAAAATCATGTTCAGGTCATCTGATGAAAAATGTACATGAGCAAAAATTATACAAGCCAAAAACAAGTGATCATATATTACATGGTTTTCATTGCCTAGGTAAGTAGAGACACTAACCCATTGTGGCCTAGCCTCTTCTTAATCTACAACGCAACAAAAGGATCATTTACATTCTAAGACTAGCTATACAAAATACTTTGGCAGCTCACCCAAAAGATATATATGTCTGGACTCCTTTTTCTACTAGTCCACAATAAAGCTGCAACTCAAAACTCAACTAGTCAACCTTACACCACCTGAAAATACATTTTAAGAAAAACGGGTAAGCATAAAATGCCCAATAGGGGTTTTTCGGTAAATCTGTAGTCATTTAAATTCTTGGTTCATGCCGAAATATGATAAAGAGTAATTCAAAATCATTCACATCCACTATTGTGTAATCCAACAACGGAAATATTGTCTAGAAATGGTTGGAAATAAACATATTATAGGAAAACCAAAGCTTCAGAGCACTAGTAGCTTTGATAACAACACGGTACACAATACACAGTTCAAAAGCATTTTCTTTTGTTATAAGAACAACGGAGCCATTATCTTTAAAGAAAAATAGCACAACTAATCACAAATATTTTCTTTTTATCCAAAACAAGTGACTAGCAGATTGGAAAGAATCGTAATATACTTGGCCAATATACATATTACACATATTTATCACATTGACAACTCATTCTCGCAGCCCACACATGGAGCTTTTCCAAGGAATATTGAGCCATTGTGCCCATAATCTAACAATTTCACGGGTCATTGTGCTCATTCATACATTTCTCAACATTCTCAATTGCACATGCATTATACTACTTTCCATCTACTTTCACAATTAAACATTCATCTCAACATGCTTCAAAATCTCATAATGAGTCAAATAAAAGGCATGCACGTCAAAAATGAAACCTTGAATAACCTTTGCAACTACTTTGAACAAACCAAAGTTGTAGAAAGAAAATCAAAATCCAACCATAGAGAAACGTTTTCTTCACTCCTTTCACATAGTCAAAATGGAGAAACATTTGAAGTAAGGTTGAAATAAAGCGACAATGCCAACAATCCTTTATCAAGTAAAAATGAAAAATCTTAATGTTTTTATGATTAAAACTCCCCTACCTCAACACAATTTGTTGATGCTAAACTCCGACGGTGTTCGTCGACTTGTTCTGTAGTCACCTTGTCCTTCTCTTCCTAATCTATAAGTAAGAAAAATCATCAAACACTGCTAGTACAAATACCAGACAAGCAGATCCTGAGTCAAAGTTAATTGGGGACTTTAATCAAGCACTTGGTGCTCATCTTTAAAACTATAACATGAAATATGATACTTTCATTTTTCCTACTCCCACCCAATCTAATTCAAAGATTATCTAACCAAATAACAATTAGATTTCAAATGTAAGAAATAGATAATCTAATGGAGACAAAGAAAGGAACCTCACTCGTTCTAATCTTCACAAGCAAAGGAAAAGAAAACTAACTTCCTCTTCCTTAAATTTGTTTTTGGCAAATTAAGAGCTACAAGAGAGGAGCCTCTTCCATCTCCCTAGGCTGGAGAAGAGAGCGGCAAGGAAATGGGGTTTGTAGAACAGCCCCTTCCCCTTTTCTCCTTATTTGTTAACGTAAGCACCCACTTTTATATTTATTAATTTTTTTTTTATTCTTTTCTTTTCTAGCCATTTGTTAATGTAAGCGCTTTGTATTTATTTATTTATTTATTCTTTTCTTTTCTAGTCAAGGCATGGTCTCAATAGTATATGATTTTTTAATGGGCCAAAGGCCCATTGATCCAAACCTCAATTAAGGCAAATTAATTTTACTAACAATTGACACAAATAATCCACTATTAATCACCACTTAAAATTTTCGGAATATTACACGCATGGACAAACCCCTTCGCTAAGTGGTCTTAGCGAGACTCCCCAATAAACATGGGACTGCTAAGACTTCCCTCCCTTGTGTGTGCTCTGTGCTCTTCTGCCTTCATTTACTTGTTAATAGTCCTCAATCTAGCGAAATGACACTACCAGACCACCACACTCTCTCCTTCTCTCCTCGTCATGCCCGACTGCGACAGTGCCTCCATGGGTGAGCAAATCCAAATTGTCCTTCACCCAAAGCTCGACGTCAACACCGACGTCGATCTGCACATTCGCGCTCGACTACACCATTTGCAACTCCAACGCCTGCTTACTTAACCAAAGGCAAGCCTATTACAGGAATAGTGTATGGTACTCCTGTTACAATTTTTATTGTCCAATAACCAATTTGTTCCCAAGTAAGGAATAACTAGTTACACCCAAAGATGCGGTCAATACACCCAAAACCACACCTTCTTCAACCGGTAAATCTTTCATCTGGTTGGGGCTCATCAGCTTGTACCCATTTCCTGAATTTGAAAAGGAAGAGAAAAAGAAAAGTAATGAGTAGAAAGGAACGAAGAAGCTTTGACCCAAAAAAAGAATGGAAAACTAACCAAAACACCCAAAAAGGTTTCATTTTAATTATTAGGATAGAAGTTTTTGATAATGCCCAAATTGGGCATGGGAAAGAACACAAGGAAGGAAAACATTTCAGAAAGATCATATGCATGCTCAAAATAAAAGCAAAAAATGAGCTCCAAGAGACATCCCTGCAACAAGCTCACATGCATTTATCAAGACAAGGCAAAAGAAGACAAGCAAGTTCACATGCAAAGCAAAAAGAAGACAAATAAGTCAGATCACGTTTCAGAAACAGTGCTGACAATTTCAGCAATAGTAGAAGCTGACAAGTACCAAGGAGATGTCCATACCATACATCTGTGAAGATTTTAATTTTTAAAATATCAGAATATTCTCACTCAATCTATATAAGAAAAGTTCTCTTCATTGTACAAACACACCTCAACATCTCAATACCTGAACACCCTACACTCACACCATCTTCAAGCATCCGTAGCCTTCATAGCATCATTGTAAACACTTCCTTGTAAACACTTTCTTGTAAACAATTATCTTTGTAAACATTCTATATATCGATAAAAGTTCAAGTGTACAGATTCCAGCAATCTCCAAGTCTTAAGTAAGTTTTTTTTCTTTAGTGTGTTTGTTTAATTAGACTTCTAGTCCAAAACAAGGAAACACTATTGTAGTTATATTATTAACCTATTAAAATGACGATCATACTTTGTTCGAGCACTCTGTTATAGTTGAATACTTACCATACAAATAACTTGACATTAATCAGGGTACCTCTGAGTTCAGCCATTAAGCCCTTATACCTGCATTGTGAGTGGCATTCATGCTGAAACATGTCAAGTTCCATGTGAAAGGTTTTATGGCTAGTTGTTATAATGGTCATCCGACTATTTGACCAGGCTTGCCTTGCAAATCTGGTATCAGGGCCAAGTTTAGCATTTTAATAGTATAATTATAATAGTAAAATACCTTGAGGACAGAAGTCATTGATACAACTGATATCACACTTGTTTATTTTGTATGAACAACAGATATTACTGTCATTGTAGACCTTGTCAACCACAACCACCAAGTATTTATTGTCCCAGACATCCAACTATAACTAGCATAAAGAGAAGATTAACATACATATCCAAAAGAATTAGCAGGAATTTGAAGAAGCAGAAGTTTTATCTTCGTTATCTTAAGCATCCTTCATTTATTAGTAAATATAATAATACAGAAGTGCAACATAAAGTTTTAGAAGCAAAAAAAACAATAGATCAAACTTCAGAGAACTTGAGAGAAGAAAGAGAGTTTCTAAGAAACCAGTTAGCCATAAATTTAGAGAAAGGTAGACTGTAGTTTATAATAGATTACCTTAATTTAGAAATTAGTGAACCTCAAAAAAGAAAAATAACCTTAGACCAAAATCGTTTAGTTTGTTATTTTCCATTGAGAAAGCATAATCATATTTTGCATAGTGAAGAAAATCCACAAGCCAATAGTATTGTAAATCTTATTATTAGTCAAGCAGAAAATCATAAGCATAATTGTTTGCTAAACCAGTTGTTAGAGCATTTTCAGAAAAAATCCATAAAAAGAATTAGACAAAATTTAGATTATATTACATCTTAGTTAGAAGATAATAATAAAAATATTCAAAGGTTTCCTAGAAAAAAAAAAAAGAGATAAAAGAGCTTATTGACCTCATAGATAATAAGGTTAAGCAAGTAGAACTAAGATTATTAGAAATAGTTGAGCAAATAAAATTAGAAGTTCAAAAAATTCAATTAATGCAAAAAGAGTTGAGTGAACAAGTAAATAAGTTACATAATAAAATAGATAGATTATTAGTTTAATGACCGATTCTAGAACTAGCTAAAAAAAAATATATCCAAGTTTTGAAAGAATTAGTAAGTTAGATAAAGAACCAGTAGGTTTAACGGATTTTTTAACACAAGTAGCTAGTAATAATATTCTCATTAGGCAAAATAATTTAATTATTCAATTAGTTTTAAGTTTGGCTGAAAAATTAGAACGAGTTGAAGAACAAATAGCAGAAATAAACCAAGTTTTACATAAAGCATATCCATCACTTCCACCATCTTTGTTAGAAAAATTAGAAAATTTAACTTTAAGTACAAATAATCATATTAGAAGACCTAAGATAAATCATTTTGATAACAGAAAATGAAACTCATTAGGAGAAAAGGAAAAGAAGTAGTTAGAGCTGAAAATATTTACCCAAATAAAAAAGAAGCACAAGAATTTGAGAGAACACCAAAAAATAATTATAATTTGTACCAATTAGGTTTATTTGAAAATAGAAGCAAAATTGTAAGTAGCACTAGTCAACATGAAGTTAGCTGTATTGATAAAGAAGTTACACATAATTGAATTAGTAAAGAAGCAGTTACTCATTTGAGAAAATCACATTTCAGTCAGATTCATATAAGAACAATATTAATTAGAATAACAGGATTAATCAGAGCACAAGTTGGCACAAAAGCTTTAGTATACATATATGATGATAAATGAGATAACCACCAACAAGCAGCAATAGCAACAGCTGAAGTAGACTTAAGTTCAAACTTAGCATTCATAGGATGTATTCCAAATTATGTTATGACAATTAATGAATTCAGTAAATATATTAAAGTAAGTATAAGAATAAAAAATTATCATAAGAAAGGAGAGTATAACAATTTATGTATTAGCTTAATGTATACTGGTAAAGTGTCTGATAAATATAATCATAAGTTTAATTTAGAATTTCAAATTTTAGTTCAAACAATTGGTAGTAAACATGTAAATCTGATATAAGCAAAACCCGTAGATAATAGCCTTTTAGAAGGAACTCAGTGGACATTACCTAATTTACAAGTAGGAAGAAATAGACAACCAAATAAAGTACAAATATATGAAACTAGTACAGGTCAAGCAACAACTAGGTTTAGTAATTACAAGAAACTAGAAAATATAGAAGAGGATGTGTGTGAGATCGAAAGTGAGAGTATTCATATGGCTTTTGATAATTTAGATATTAATTTAGTTGAGCAAAATTTTGATCATATTGTAGATAAACTTATAGATGATATTGATCAATTAGATTAAGAATAATACTTAGAAAAATATAAGACATATGATTTAGGATTACACAGAATTTCAGATGAAGAGATGAAAATTTTAATTTTAGAAATAGGAGTAAAACATATTTTAGGATCAAAACAATATAATAATTTATTAGAATTGAAATAATAATGTAATCCAGCAGAAGAAACTAATACATCAGGAGTAGAAAATCGAGGACATATAGGGAGAACTGATTTTAGACCAACAAATGAACAATATAAAGAACAAACTAGAGTAAATTACATAGATGAAAATATGATGAAACCACCTAGAAAAAATAGGATTTCATATTTGAGAGGATTAGAACAAATTAATATAGCAGGAAATATATTAAATTTGGATAATGGTTCGGTTTTTTATTATTTCTAGTTATGGAAAGTCCAAAATCCAGAACAGCATCAGGCTATTAAAACACATTTTAATATTGATGGTTTTGTTATTCTGATCAAGCAAGAATTTTTAGATCATAATAGATTAGATGGCTTAAGCAATTAGAAATTTAGAACAATTTCAAATTTGTGATTTATAGTACATGGCTGAGTATACAACATATTTCTTTAAATATTTAGGAAGAATAGGTAGAATTATTGATATTAATTTATTAGATACTTATATGACAAAAATAAAAGGACCAATAAGTGAAAAGATTTAGAATGAATGACAAAAACATCCAAAGAAAAATGATGTTGCAATAGGACCTAGAATTCAACATGTATATGACATACTTAAACAATAGTGTAGTCAAATAAAAGTTAAGAGACGGATTAGAAAGCAATTTTACATGAGTTGTAAAAATATAGATTTACCTCAACAATATGGTTGCCATAAGAAAAATAAGCATAAGAAAATATACAAAAGAAATATAAGTCATATAAACCCTACAAACAGCATAAGAATTTCAGCATAAGACCTTCGAGAATATATAGGAAGACAAAATATATTCCAAAACAATTTAAGAAAAGAAGTGGCAGACCTTGGATTAGGAAATATAAAGCGCCAAAAGATAAGAGTAGTTGTAAATGTTATTCATGTGGAGAAGCTGGACACATTAGACCTAAATGTCCAAAATTAGGTA